AAGACGTCTTCGAACTTAACAATATTATTCAGTCTAACATTCAAAGCGAGGCAGTCACATACAAGTCCGTCGACACTGTTGTGGAAGCAGATGAAGCGATTAATTATCCAACATAATTTTTGAATTCACTCGATCTGCCAGGGATGTCACCGCACGTACTGCAATTGAAAATCGGCGTGCCAATTATCATGTTGCGAATTATCAACCAGCCAAAGCTTTGCAACAGCACGCGCGGCTTGCAGTAAAAAAATTAATGAGCAGCGTCGTAGAAGCAACAATCTTGACAGGACCTTTCAAAGGTGAAGATGTCCTCATTCCTTGCATTCCTATGATTCCAACTGATATGCCATTTCAATTTAAGAAATTGCAATTCCCAATTCGATTGGCGTTTGCAATCACCATCAACAAAGCTCAGGGCCAATCTTTAGAATTGTGCGGTTTAGATCTAGACACGGATTGCTTCTCACATGGACAATTATATGTTGCGTGTTCTAGAGTCGGCAAACCAGACAATCTATATATCTGTACAGACAATGGAACAACAAAAAATATTGTATACCCACAAGCATTGTGAAATTAAACATATTAGAAACGTGCGCTTTCTCTTTTCTTTCTTTTCCATTTAACCAGAATGAGCCACAGCAACGAGTGGCCGGGTACAGCTAGTAAATAAACGAAAAAATAGATAAATTAACATTTTATTTGATAAAATTAAAAATGTAAATACTAATATTAAGAATCATAACTTTTGGATAATAAAACGTAATAAACCTGTATAAAAGCCAGTGTGTGTCACATCACATCACGCTTTATTTCTCTTGATTTCTTGAAGTAGGAGTCATAAAAGCCAAAATGCATTTATCCAGATAGAATAGTTCGATAACCTACTGTCTGCCCATAACAATTTTAGTAAAGGGGATGCAAAGAGGCCGTGAGGGGTTGCCTTGAAACCTTATAAGTATAGTGAGTGTTGGTATAATAAGGCTAAAGTAAAGACGTTGTGTTGGATCACCTAGTCTAGAGCCAAGTGCATAACATTTATCATGAAAGTAAAAGCCTCGATTCAATTTGAAACTGAAATCGTTTCTGAATTAGGCTATTTTCTATTATATCACTAACGTTTAAAAAAAACTATTTAATCAAAGGAGACTAAATTAAGAAATCAACAAATATTTTTCCAGTTTTGTTTGTCTATACATTTCACTTTATACTTTCAGTACATAGACTAACAACAATATTAGATTATACTTTTGGTGCTGGCATGGCACTCGACTCACAATCTGAGGGTCGCGGGTTCGAATCCCTGTCACACCAAACATGCTCGCCATTTCAGCCGTGGGGGCGTTATAATGTGACAGTCAATCTCACTATTCGTTGGTAAAAGAGTAGCCCAAAAGTTGGCGGTGGGTGGTGATGACAAGCTGCCTTCCCTCTAGTCTTACACTGCTAAATTAGAGACGACTAGCGCAGATAGCCCCAGTGTAGCTTTGCGCGAAATTCAAAAACAAACAAACAAACAAACTTTTGGTGCTAACAGACACGACAAAAAAACAATTGTTGGAACGTAGTGTTATCAAAACGCACCAACCTTTCTATACATTAGAAGTTGTTAATCTAATTGATTTTTGTCAATAATAATTCTATGCATACGCCACAGAGTAATTTACCGACTGCCTCTTTGTTGGTAAAGCTTGATTTCGCAAAATTTATTCATTTCACTTAGCCATGAAATTTGAGGTTAGGTTATATTACGTTAGGGGGGGGGGTACTTGCTCCGGGCTATACGCTAGTACCTAAATAAATGTGAACAAGTGAAAAATATGATTTGAAATTTGATTTCACCACCTTGTATTCATAATTCCATAGAAATAATTATTCTTTCTTATGTTGTCATTAACAGAACAATACTGCATCATAAATAAATAAATACTTATTTTAGCACTGGAAGAAAGGAAATTTAGTTTTAGTATTTATAATAATTATGTTTTTCAACAATCATGTTTTAAAAACAATTAATAGGAGTTCCAATGGGAGCTAAGTATTGTACTTTATATCTATATTTTTACCAGTCGACCCCATTAAAAGTCGTCCGTAGATTAGCTTCACTGACGACATAGGGGTTCGCTGCATTGTAACATCATTTGCATTTTGGCGTTGGCTTTTTTAAGTTGCAGCACACACTCATATTTTATTATAATTACTCTACATTGCTGGAATTACGGCACCGATGCGACCAGCTAGTAGTCCTGCAGGTAATGAGAGCAAAAAATTGACTCGAAATGTAATAACATAGAAATAGAAAGCTTGAAATTATGAAACTTTTAGAAGAAGGGGACCTTTTCTGCAAGTAATGGTTGGTTTGACCGTTTTAGGCGAATAAATAATCTACATAACATCAAAATAACAGGCGGGGCCGCTAGTGCCAATCACCAAGCTGCTTTAGAATTTCTAGAAAAGTTAAATAGATCACAAAAAGTGGAGGATATCCCTCTGAATTTGTTTCCAACGCAGATGAAACGGGGCTGTTTTGGAAACGGATGCCGTTTCGTATGATTATTTCTTGTGATGCTCCACGATTTAAAGCTTCAAAAGATCGGCTTACCCTGTTATATTGTGGTAACGCGGCTTTAGACTTTAAATTAAAACCAATGCTAAAGTACCATTCGGAAACACCACGGCTATGAAAGGATTCTCGAAGCTACACCTACCGGTTGTTTCGCGTTACAGCCTCAAAGCTTGGGTGGCAATTGATATTTATCAAGATTGGTTCATCTACTACTTTTGTCCAGCAGTAGAAAAATATTGCATTGAAAAATAAACCGGAAAAAAAAACCTTACTTCTCCTAGATAATGCTCCTGGTCACCTTTCTCGTTTGGTCAGTTTGGAGACTTGCATTCTGACCCAGACTGTGTTTTTCCCTCCGAACACAGCATCGCTCATTCAGCCAGTGGATCAGGGGGTCATAGCGACGTTTGAGGCGTATTATCTGCGTCGTACCTTTCGTCAGCTGTTTAACGAGTCATCTACTTATGGGAACCTTACAATCAGGGACTTCTGGCGTTCGTATAATAATGTGAAAGCAATTGACAAGATCGACTCTGCCTGGAAAAAAGTCACTGCTAGTTGTATGAACAGAGTTTGAATGAAGATATGGCCAGAATGCATTTATGATTTCGAAGGGTTTGAAGAAAATACACCAGCAGTCCGTGAAGAAATTCCCATCCATGCCCACAATGCAGGACAGGAGGGAGTGGAATATAAAGACATGGATGAATTGCTTCAATCACATGGGGAAGATCTGTCCAATGAAGAAGTAAAAGAATTATACCAGCAACAATTTCTGGAACATTCAGCCGAAGATGAGCAGCCAGAGGAAGTAAAACAAGTGGTTTAGTTATTATGCAAGAACATGTCAGAGTTTTTTTCTTTGCAAAATCAATAAAAGTCTTGCAATCTTTGCCGAGAACGAACCTGACCGCGAACGGAGCAGTAGCTTTAGGAGGCAAGTTGATGAATCTCTACCAGGAATTAAACATGAAACAGGCAAGACAGTTGCAAATAGCTTTTAAGAAGAAACAACAGGAAGACGAAGTAGGTGATCCAACTCCACCCTCTGCCCAATAAACCAGTGCCAGCTCAACTTATTATTATTATTATTGTACTATAGTACGTATTCTATATTTTATTGTATTATTTATTAATTTCTATTATTATATTGTTGTTTCCAGTTATTCATTATAATAAAATTAATAATAAGGAAGTTGGGAATTTAGTTCTGTTATTTGTTATAGAAGATTGGGGAGAAATTTACCCCTGTTGTTTAAAGTCTAAGTTCTAAGTAGTAATCTACGAGAATAAAATAATGCCAAGATCTCGTCGGAGAAAATAAACCTTAGCTACAACACCGTTCATGATCTCAACATCAAATTCTCGACTCCATACAAAAACGGCGTGGGAGGACTGAAAGTAGCATTTATCATTAAAACCGCCAACCGACTCAGAACCACTATCAAGGTATATGTTTTAGTTAAAAATTTTCTTTTAAAAAAAAAACTAAATGGGAAAAATAAGAAAATACACCCATTCAGTCAAAGCACTAACTTAACTCTAGCGACATCACATGAATTCTTACATCGGAGCTGTTGTTTATTGTCGCTTTCTTCAATGTTTCAATTCACTCTTTCTTTACCTTATCAATTTACGCTATAAGGATCTCGCAGCCGCGCCTTCTATATTACAGCAACACAAGGATATTCAGGTGAGCATATCC